AATTCATAGTTTCATTTGTTTCACAACGTGGCCAGCCTTCGTCTGGCTTTTAAATGTACCGGAAAAAATGCCTAAAGGGTATCCCGAATATTAAATTTAAAAACTGCACAGTTCAACTCTGGAAAACGACTTTATTAAAACCAAAACACAAATTTCAATACAAAACACGAATTTCAATAAAAATGTATTATATATATATGTATCAATTACAATGAAATAAGCAATATCCCTTAATACAAATTGTCATATAATCGAATCCTTTGATCACTGTCATAAATCGATCCTTTGACACTTCATCTTTGTCGGTTCGTTTCTATCCACTTATGAATGTTATTAATCAACTCTATTTGCAGGAAATAAACTGGGACACTTATGCAGATTTAACAATAACATGAGCTATATTTTAATTTTGTAAATACAGTTTAACTTTTCACAAAGTATTGCTTTTATTCACATTTACATCAAACGCACAAGTAATACATTGCATCTCTCAGCTCTTAACAAAAAAAAAAAAAAAAAAAAAAAAGAGCACGAGCATGCCGTCCTTCTCGCATCAAGCACGCTTCTTCTTTTCGTTGCCAGATTCCAGATTTTCTTCTCTCTCCTTTCAGCTATAAGTCTGTTCTTCCGGCAGGTTTGGTCGGTAGCATAGAGTATGTGCATGACACAAATGTTAATTATCCTAATAAATAAATTAATCAACTTCCCGTTGCAAAATCTTAAGAATTCAAATAGTATAAAGGAAGTCAAGAACTTTATTTCCTAAAAAAAATCGTAAAAAAACTTTTTATATAGTTAAAATTACATATAATTAAAACATAATTTAAAAAGATTACAACAAAATAAGCAATAAATCTCATATTTTCAAGAGAAAACAGTCAGCAGTCTAGTACCCAAAGCAAAGAATGAAAAACTGTTGCCAAAATCACATTTCTAAAAGAGTGAAATTATCATCCGAAAGCAATAACCAATCAAAAATGTGCTTTGTGGATGACATAATTCAAAATATACAAACCTCTTTGCCATTAGCTAATAAAGGGAGAGGGGAAAAAAGGAAATTCTTTTTGTTGTGCCTCGCGAGACACATGCGCGTCAGAATAAGAAGATTGCGATGTGCGTGTCCAAATATCAAAAGAAAATAAGCAGCATTTTATGTCATATTTTCAACAGTCAGCAGTGTAGTATACAAAGTATTGAATGAAAAACTGTTGCCAAAACCATATTTCTAAAAGAATGAAACTATTCAAACTGATGCGATGAAATCGAAAAGTTAAAATGAAAAAAAATCTGATTCGAATTTTGAAAAAAATCGCTTCGAGGTGCACTGGCTCTTGTCTAGATGCAGCTACGTAGTACTAAATTTCGTAGCCGTGAGTCTGTGAGCTTCTGCGCAGCACGAAAGACACATACAGAGACACTTTCTTTTATTATATGTAGAGATTAAAATCCTTAAATCCAATGTTCTAATTTTATCCGATTTTCAATAGTTTTCAGTAGGTAATTTGCCAAAACTGGGGAAGCGGGCATCGCGGTCGATATATTTTTTAGAAGAAATATAATCGATAGACAAATAGTTCCGTTTTATTTTGTCTTGAGGGCAGAATAATGTAAGCTATTAATTGCTCTTTCGTGATATAGTATAATTAGAGAAAAATTCAATAATTTCATAAAATGAGTCAGACGTTTGTTTCGAAAATAGCTTGTAGGTTTCAGACCAATTCAATTTTTTTACATAAAACGTGGAAAATAATTTTTAATTTTCTGTAACATGTCAAAATCTTTGCTTATTAAATTCCATTCTGTGCCATATCGCATTCGTTTTGTTCTATAAACAACATTTTTCTGATTCCTGTAAAAATAAAACGTTTATTGGAATTCTTAGTGCTATATTATAGACATGAATAATGTTAATGTTTTTCAGGTCCTTATTTTTAATAATAAAGTAATACTTTACGAAATCGAGGACTTGGATGTTTCTATAATGTAAAAGTATAAGTATTTTTGTTTAAGTAAATCACTAATTAAGAGCTAAGTAAACATAATTGTTCGATGTATAATCTTTCACTTATTCTATATGTTTGTAAGAATGTACATTATGTAAGATATTTTAAGTACGTACACTGCCACCCCCCCCCGAAAAAAAAAGGGCGACAGTTCTATTTATCCCGTTTTACTCCGCCAATTGACAAAATTCAACTTGCGTTTTTCATGTCTCGGAAGCGCGATTTAGGATATGTATTAGATTTATATATAGCATTGGTCTAATATAGGAATTTTGATACAAAATAGGACTTTTTCTGAAATGGCAAGGCAATGTTTTTCCATATTTCGATTCTACCATTCAAATTATGCGAAACTGCTACGTTTTGTCAAAATCGCGCGAGTAGTTTTTAAAAAATAAGCTCTCAAAATTTTAACGGCTTAATCCAAATATAATTCTTTATGATTTATTTTTTATACTTGTATTTTTAAATATTTATAACTTTTTCAAAAACATTTGAATTATAATCTATAAAAGTTTTATCATCGTCTTAATGTAGATGTATTTCTAAGCATACCTGCAAATCATACTTTCCGAAGATATACGCGAATTTATATATTGGAGCGTTTTGAAATTTGGCATATTTGTTGAAAGCGATAATAACATCAAATGTGGTTTAGGCACTTTGCTAAAAATTATTTGAAAGAAGGAACGATGTGACTTTTTTCCGTTCATTCACAATGTAAAAAGAGAAAAGAAAATAACTTGTCATACATTAAGAAGTTCACCAGGTGAGTTACTCTTACAAACGGAAAAAAATGCGCCAAGATAAATTTCTGAATTTCTTCGTAAACTTCGCACCAAATTTTACAAAATTTAAAATCTAGCATAATTTGACTCGTGAAAGCGAAATATGGAAAAGAATTCGTATGTCATTTCAGGAAAAGCCTGATTTTGTGACAAAGTACCTAAATTAAACCAATGCTATATATAAATCTAATACATATCCTAAGTCGCGCTTTCCAGACATGAAAAACGCAATTTGAATTTCGTCAATCGGTCTAGTACAACGGGAGATATAGAACTTTCCGCCTTTTTTTCAGTCCAAAGGAGCTTTGCTCCAGAAGGACTATTGTTTTCGTTTTGCGATTTTGCATTGATCACTATAAATATCCTTTTCACTTTTCAAACTGTTGCCACGCAATGTTTGAGCCCTGCATTATATTTCAAGAAATTAAATAATGAAAATCTGCATAAATGTATGTATATTTTTCGCATTGTGATAAAACAACGGTACATAGCGCCATCGAATTTTGAATGCAGTAATCCTACTGTCAATAGGGGCATGTGGAAGCCCAAATTTGGAATTTGGAATTTGTTTTATGATCGATTTCCTATTTTGTAAAACTTGAACGAATTTTTGAGTAACAAACTCAACGATTTGAAAGCGGGCAATTGCAACAACCTACGGGGTGGGCGGGAACCATTTTATCTCCAGCGCGCCGGAAATTCTAAAGATAGGGTCATTTTAAAATTATTTTACGACATTGCTAATGAATTGAAATTTATGATTTAAATAAATAAAGATAACACACAAAACGTTAACAAAACGCCCCTTTGGACGTAATTTAAAATTTGAAACATTTCAGAATTTTTTTTCCGCAATGTACGCAATATAATAATTAATCTTTTATGTCTAAATTTTTTTTGGGGGGGGGATGTGGTGTGGTGTATTTAATCATGGCAAAACACACTAGGGCTATCTGTCTAAGAGGAGGGATGCCTTTGTGGAGGACTTTCTAAGGGAAACTGGCTCGTATACACGTTACACATGGGGATAACCACGAAAACACCCATGCAGCCAGCCCGTTCGCGGGATTCGAACCTCGGACCGAACTACCAGTGTTCAGCGAATTTACCGCTCGGCCGCTGGTGGGCCTTTTGGGGGAGATAATTCTTAAATTAGAACTAAGATCTATTTTCACTGTTTAGCTAAGACTGTTTCAGTTTTTAATCTGAAATCCTCATCTCAAAAGCATATTGAAATTCCTTTTCACTATTTTTAATATATTTTTTTTAATTTAAAATATAATTTACTTTTCTTTTTATATTTGAGTTTAAGCTGCAAGCTTTCAAAGGCCCATTTGTTTAAATATTTTTTATTACTTTCGTTAACTAAAAGTATTAATAAAGATAAAAAAGTATTAATAGTTAATTTAATCATCCATTGTTATACACGTTTTAATATACAAGGTGAGAATAATAAAGTCCTTTACTGGTTGCAGAACGTTTACATGAAATAAGCGCAGAGGATAAGAAATGTGGGATTTTTACCTTTAATTTGTCCTATTGTTAGCCCAAAGGAATTTCGTTTCGCATTTTGCGTTGAAATCACTATAAATGTCCGTTTCACTTTTCAAACTGTTGCCATCTAATGTTAGAGTCTTGCATTATATTTGAATAAATTAAATAATGAAGAATCGGCATAAATGTGTGTATGTTTCTCGCACTGTGATAAAACAACGGTACCTAGGTATATAGAATTTTGAATAACGTAATCGTTCAGCGAATATGGGCATCTGGAAGCCCGAATTTGAAATTTATTTTTTATCCATTTCATATTTTGTCAGGCATTAAAGAATTTTTATTAAGAAACTCAAGGATTTCAAAGCGAACAGTGGCAACACTGTACGAAAAAAAGAAACATTTTTATCTCTAGCGCGCGAGACTAGGTATCTGAAATTCTAAAGGTATGCTCATGCCTTATTGATGTAGAATTGAATTTTATGGTTTAAGAGCAAAGGAGAGGGTATTTAATAAATAGAGGTAACACACAAAACGTTAAAAAAAGGCCCATTTGGGCGTAATGTAAAATCTGAAAGCTTTCAGAATTTATTTATTCATTTATTTATTTATTTTTTAAATCGCACAGTGTATTTGAAAGAGCCTTTATTTTGCTGGTATGATCTCTTGTGTTTTACTAGATAAACAGTCTTTTTTTTTTTTTTCTTTTCGGTAGACAAATGGAGAAGAAGATTGGGAATACGAAGAAATTACGCTGGAGAGGGTAAGTGCAATTAACCTATGTCATTTATCTTTTTTTTTTTTTTTTTTTTTTTTTCGTATTTGATAAAAGTCTTTAATTCATCCTTTTTAATCTCTTGGTGGGGGTGAATGTGAATGAATGCTGAATGATTTCTCTCAGCGTTTCCTATTAGAAGAAATCCAATTTTGATCCACTTAACTACATATCAAGTTAAATAATTGAAATTTAAATTTATAAGCACATTTAGCAAGATAATCCGGATCAGTTTGTCTCAAAAATATCTTCCGTTCTAGAGACTAAGAAGAAATGACGGAGAAGAGATGAAAAATGACCAATGCCCTCGCCGGGACTCGAACCACGGACCTCTCGAATACGCGTCGAGTGTGCTGACCACTACACCACGAACTTGTTTAGAAGGCGGGAGAAATACCTTTTACAAACCCCTTTTTAAAGTATTAGGGGATCCAATCAAGGTAAATGAAAAATGAGCAATGCCATCGCCGGGACTCGAACCACGGACCTTTCGAATGCGCGTTGATTGTGCTCGCCACGAAGTCATGCATTGATGCATTGAAGATGGTGGCAGAATTGCATTATATACTCCCTCTTTTTAGAGGGCGACTGGGGTTTTAGGGGACCCAATCAACAAATCCTGGTGGTGGAAAATCATCATCCACCACCCTTTTAGTTCGAGCGCCACTGTAGAGACATTAAGATATTTCGAAGCAGAAAAGATGAAAAATGAGCAATGCCCTCTCCAAGACTCGGAACCACGGACTCCTCGAATACGCGCCGAGTGTACTGACCACTACACCATGAAGGCATGCTAAGAAGGCGGGTGAAATACATTTACCGTGACTTTCTAAGCAGTTCTGCATTTACAGCGGTGAACAAAAATACTGGCACATTTGGTATAAAATAATAAGTATAACCTGGTTGTTGTCAAAACATTATACACTGTATAGAGTTAAATAATTAGCAGCACCAGAGAATGCCGAAAAGAGATAAAAAATATATTGCACTATTTGACCGAAAAATATGTCGCACCAGCTTTAAACACTGGCCTTGCTACTACCGCTTACGGAGAAGGTAGCCTTCTCAGCAAACCACGTTTACGGAATTAAGGTAAAATATCACGCCGAGTAAATATTTATTTAGGAGTTACATAACAACAATCAGCTTTATATTTGCAAATTTTCATGGGACTAGATTTTATGGCTTTACCGAACCAGCAAATTGCCAAAGTGCGAATGAACGAAATAAGATAAGAATGGCTGGGCAGTAGCTAAGCGATTAATACTGTCTTCGATTGGTGAATTAGATTTTCTAGAGGCATTTCACATTCAAAAAAAATCTTTCTGTTCTCGATAACGACTTTAATACCAATCTATCTTTAACTTCAGCCTTTAAGGAAATTGTGTTTTAATTTTCTTGTTTCATCAATAGATGGCGCCAGTATCTTAACTCCTATCCAGCAATTCGTATCTTATCTCGTTCATTTGCACTGTGGCAGCTGAATGTGTTGGTTTGGTAAAGCAATCGAAAGTAGTCCTGTGAAAATTTGCAAATATAACGCCGAGTGTTGTTGTTTGACTTCTAAATTAGCACGTTTACAGAATTTGGTGGTATCCGAAGCGACCTCAGTTCATGAATGAACTGTAGACTCGTTACAGCAGCAGAGCCGAGACTGTCAGAGTATAAATCTCAGCCAGTACAATAAACGACTCTAAGAGGACGTGTTAATCAGAAATTAGCCGAATTGGGTTCATTTCGAAGCTTTATACAGATCATGCGACAACATGGAGCGATTCAGATAGCTTGACCTATTGCATAGAGTTAAGACTAATGTAAAAGCCAAAAAAAGTATGTTAAAAGTAAATTGTTTCAATAGATATTACTTCTGGATCATTCCGCCTAGACACGTAAACGGTTAGTGACTCTGATTACCGTCCCGAAGGATCCGGGTTTGAATCCCGGATAAGGCATGAATGTAAATTGTCTGTCCCTTCATAGCAGGTAACAATGACCGCCTATTAGGTGCCTCCAAAATAAAATACGCTGTCCTCCAAAAGTTAAGAAACAGCATGCTTTTCAAAGCTCACCATTACAAAAATGTTAGTAACGTTTAAATTCACAGTTTATATGCATGACCGTAACGAAGTTTATGAAAATAGATGCAAAAACAATAGTCACCACTTTTATTTTATACAAATGAATGAGTTGGAGAAAAAATGCAAAAATTGTATGCTTTCTTCACGAGTGTTATCTTCCGTTACCATTAGCAATTTAGTTGGCAATATCCAGAAGATGCTTATCAATGTCCAGGAGAAGTCGTTTGCCCGATTCGTTAAAGTGGCGCGCGATCGGATGGATAGAAATGGGGATGTCACAAGCTTGGTGCTACTAGGCGTCTCTCGTACTGTGATCCACGACTATGGAATCAGTTTGAATCCGAGGATTCTGTGTCTAGAAGACATGTTCTAGCCAGACCTAGAGTTACAACGCCTGCGAGAGACCGTTATTTAGCTCTTTCTGCCCGAAGGAGGAGTAACATTTTTGGGTCTCAGCTCATGGCAGATTATTTAGTGGCAACAGGAACAAGAATCGTAGCTACTACAGTGCGTAGACGCCTGCACAATACGGGTCTCTATACAAGATGACCAGTTGTTTGAGTCCCCTTGAACCGAAGATACAGAGATGCCCGTTTATCTTCGGCAAGAGAACACGTCTTCTGGACCAGTCAACAATGGGCGTCTGTTCTCTTCACAGACGAGTCCAGATTCACATTTGGAGAGTGATTTAGATCGTCAGCTGATCTGGAGGAACAACGCAATAGATACAACCAATCCCACACTGTGGAAAGACACCGTTACAGAGGTGGTGGAATAATGGATGGGTTGGAATCTCTCTCGGTGGTCACAGTGGCCTGCATGTGTTCCGTGGAAGAACCTTGACCGGTGGGAGATATCGAGACGAGATCCTTGATCAACATGTTCTTCCATACGCCACTGTTATTGGTCTGGATTTCTTCTGATAGCCGGCAATGCGCGTCCGCACCGATCTCGAGTTGCTGAAGAATATTTTAAGGGTCACGGTTTGGAGCGGATGGAATGGCCAGCTCAGTCCCCAGACCTGAATCCAATACAGAATCTTTGGGGACTACCTTGGGAGACAGGTTGCTGCTATATGTCCTCCTTCAAGGTGGTTAGATGAGCTTGAACTAGGATTACTCCGTGTCTCGTCGTTGCTTCCCATTTCACTGACCGACAACTTAATTGGCAGCATGGAATTTCGAGAAAAAGCCACGGAGAAATCCACTTAGTTTCCGGAGCGGTCAAATTAGATACTTCTGTTGAAATATGATATCCGAAATTTTTCGAGATTAAACTGTAGAGACATTAGGTAATTTTTGGAAGCAGGAGAAGTGAAAAATGAGCAACGCCTTCGCCGGGAATCGAACCCCGGAGCTCTGGAATACGCGCCCAGCGTGTAGACCACCACACCACGAAGTTATGCTAGGAAGGTGGGAAAAATATCTTATATATTCCCCCTTTTAAAGGGCGACTGGAGTTTTAGGAGAACCAGTCGCTCAATCCTGGGTGTGGAGAATCATCATCCACGACCCTATTAGTTCGGGCGCCACTGTAGAGGCATTGGGTATTTTGGAAGCAGGAAAGATGAAAAATGAGCAACGCCCTTGCCGTGAATCGAACCACGAACCTCTGGAATACGCTCCCAGCGTGCAGACCACCACACCACGAAGGCATGCTAGGAAGGTGAGAGAAATGCCTTATAACAGTACTTTCTTTACTTCGCATATGGAAGTGAAAAGAAATGTTTTAATTTTCGAACTCAAAAATAGGCAAAATGTAGCAGTTTTCTCTATAAGATATAAATCCCATTATGTATGTCATTTTACGTCTTCAGATTTATTGGTTGGTGTATTTGGAATCTAAGTCAGACCGAGATAATAAAAGTATTTTGAAAACCACTAACCAAAATCTCTTTCATATTATGTCGAAAAAAAAAAAAAAAATGCTAAGAGAGCTCCTCCTTACTTACGTGTGTTGTGTTCAGGAAACGCTTCATAGCCAATATGTTTTATCTGTACAACAGTAAATGTAGTTCTTACGTAAAAGGATAAAAGCTTCAGAAACTTGACTCTTGAAAATCTTATTTTTCTTGAAATGAGAAACTTTTTTTGTGAAAACAGTCCTTTCTTTTAAAGAAAACTTTCTTCTCGCACATGCCGTCCCCTTTCAAAAAGAATTTTTTTTCGTTTGTTTTATTTCGAGCTTTTTAATATCGAAGAAAAAGTCACGTCGTTTGACAAGCCAGATTCCGAGTACGTGATTTCAGAAGCGCAGTTTTTCTACATTCCTTGAACATTTCTTTTACCTATATTAAATTTTTCTGTTTTTTGTTTCCTCACAAGTTTAAACGAAGAGAGATTTCTTGGTAGAACAAAATAGGCTATTCAACAATTTTTTTTTTCAATTTTCTGTATAAATCTTGAAGTAAATAATGCCATTTTGACAAAGAAAGATAGCTTTTCTTCTTAATAATATCATTTTGCGAGTCAAATATTTTTAAACACAATATTAGATTAGATTTAAAATTAAACATTTTTCATTGCTAACCAAGATATGTAAAAAAAACATTCGTTAAATATTAACCGAATTATTTTGCATATATCTTACATTTTAGGAAACTTAACGTAATCTGATCTTCTTGAGCGCTCTCTACATAAACTTTACTACATTTGTCACAACATTTTCCAAACTAAAATTATCTAGAATATCGAAAAAGGGAAAGCACAAGAGAACTATTTACCTATTACGAGATCGGATGCCTTTGTTGAGGACTTTCTAAAGGAAACTGGCCACGGACCTCTCGAATACACGCCGAGTGTGCTGGCCATTATACCACGAAGGCTTGCTAAGAAGCCGGGAGAAATACCTTATACACACCCCATTTTAAAGGGCAACTGATGATTAGGGGACCCATCGCCAAATCTTGGT